GGCCAAAGAGGCAGAGTATCTGATGAGGAGGCTGGAGCCAGGTAAGCCATCATAGCTACTATCTCATACCGAACAAGGCACTCAGGCTCATTTTTCTCCTGTCAGATGATGGAGGTGGACAGGACAAGGGCTGCCATTTCTTTCTAGGCTTTTCTGGAATTGCAGATTGTACCAGTTTTTGTGTTGGAGGTTTTGTTTATTTTAAATAAGGAACTGAATGCTGATAGGATTTTTCATTTGCAAAATGTAAGTAACTTTATTTTTTATTTTAAGAGTAGTTTATGCTTGATATAAAAAAATTACAATACAAAAGTGTAAAAAAGTGTGTAACTTCCACAACCAGCGCTAAGTCATCAGTCAGGCTAATTGGTTTCCCCATACCCTGAACAAGCTATGTTAGCCATCTTTCTTGAGGGGGCAGTTAAGACTGTAAAAGTCAAATCTTTGCTTATTTTAATGGTTCTAACAACTGGTGAAAATGAAGGGTAGCATCAGTAATTTTTTGTTTCCTTCCAAAAAGTCCAGATTCAGGTCTTACAGCCCAACTTACAGATCCACATGAAGAAGTTAAATTCCAATACTTAATAGAAATACCTTGTAGTGTTATATAGGGTAATATAAATATTGCAAGGGACAAAAGAATAAAATACATTAAAATGTTAATAGCAGTCTTACTAAGGCGGCAGAACTTTGGGGGATTGTATTTTTCAGCTGTTCTTCCTAGATTGGGGCATTGCATGTGTGTTACTTGTGTAATGAAAAAAGTAATTTTAAGAAAAGCATTCTTGATAATGACATGCTAGGTGATTGGATTCAAACCAGTCTGCCTAGTAACTGAAACTTATTAAATCTTCATTGACTAAATGGCTTTTAAAAATTATTACTGCTATTTTTGGGCTATTTTTTTCTCTTAGGAATTCTACTCAGATAATTAAAGATAAATGAATAATTACATTAGTAATTTGGGGAAACTCAAAAATCTTTAAAACACTGAGTGGGTTCAATGCCTCAAATATTTACTGAGCAACTGTTACAGGCAAGGCATTGTGCGAGTAGAAGATGAGTGAACTCCATCCCTGCTCCCAAGGGCTCAGTGTTTGGCAGGAGGTAAGACCCCAGAGCCACATACTAGATGGCCTTTTTAAGGGTTTTGACATACAAAATCCTATGAGAGTCCAGAGAAGTAAAGAGTCATCTCTGAATGGTGAGGAATCCAGGAAAGCTTCATGCAGCCAAGTTGAATTTGAGCTTGGTCTTTGAAAATGGATGGGATTTTTCATATTCAGAGATTGAAGGGGCTTTTTAAGTAGAGGAAAGGCAAACAGAGGCACAAGGGTGCCAAGATCAGGACACATCAGAAGAACAAGGAGACCATTTTGTATACAGCATGTGTAGGGGAGGGACAAATAAGACTGGCCTGGAGGTGAAGAAGACTTGGATGTGAGGCCACAAGGTCAAAGCCAGTAGATGATGGGTGATTGTGGGTCCTTTGAGCAGAGAATAATCATTGTTGGCCTAGGACTGTTCCTTTGGCCAACTTGAGTGTCAGGTGGGGGACAGTATGGGAAGACAAGGATGGGAAGATGAATCCCAGGTGAATGATAAATGGGGCCTGAGCTTGGCAGGTGGCATCAGAAGAAAGACAGGTGTGATAATTTGTAAAAATAGACGCAGTAGCCTAAGATTCAACGAGACTAGTGTTCAAATCCAACCCTGCCTTGACATTACTTAGCTCCACTGAGCCTGTCTCTTCCTCTACAAAATGTGCATAAGCGTAATTAAGGGTTTGCCACATGGTAGGCAGTTATTCTTGTAAAGCGTCTTTCAGCACAGCTCTGGCACAGTGAATGCTCAGTACATATTAATGTCATGGATGGTATTACCTGGAGTTGGAGCTAGAAAGAAAACAGGTGTCAGCTCGGTGACTGAGTAACAAGAGAGACCATACAGCAGCTAGGAGCATGGCATTTGGAGGTCGAGACTGGATTTGGATCCCAACTCTACTATTTACAACCGTAATCTTGTACAAGCTACCTAACCCTTCTCTCGGTTTCCTGAGCTGTGAAATGGGAATAGTATTAATACCCCGCAAGGAACTGCTAAGGAAATAAAGTGAAATAATACATGTAGATGCACCTGATACATGTAGATGTACCTGATACATTTTAAGAGCCCAGTAATTTTTAGTTATTGGATGAGGGCTGGGGCTGCAGAATTGAATAGATTTACCCCTTCCATCTGCAGTGGCAGGATACGTAAGTAGAGGGGGAGATGTGCTACAGGGGATTGGACATGGACAGACTGGGAAGAACACTCAGGCTGAAGGTAGTCAGGAGTCGCTGGCACAGAGGTGATAATTGTAGCTCTGTAGGTAGATGAGTCAAGAATGAGTACATAAATTGGCCAAAGGAAACAATTAGATAAATCCAGAATACAGGACAGTCTATATAACAGATGGCTGGGACTCTCTCAAAAGTGTCATGGACAAAATAGTAAGGGGGCTATTCTAGACTAAGAGAAACTCCCATTACAATCAAAAGTAAGGTATGAATCCTGTTTCATGCATTACTGGTTCCTGTTTTTTAGAAAAGATAAAAAGATACTCTTGGGACAATTAGGGAATTTTGATTAAGGACTCTATATTAGAGGCTATTGGGATAAACATGCTGAAATATTTAGAGATGAAATGCCATGCCTGTTTGGGGTGGATGGAAGAAAAATAAATATGGCAAAATGTTATCAGCTGCTTAACTGGAGGATATATGTGGGTATTCATTGTATTAGCTCTCCAGCTTTTTCTGGATTCTTGAAAATTTTCAAATTCTCAGAAAAATAAGGAAAAAAGAGACCTGAAGAAAAATTATTTGGGAACCCGTCTACATCAGGAAAAGGAATTCTCTGGACGAAAGGCAAGTTCCATCTACCAAAGGAGAAATTTCAAGAAGGGAGAGAATAAGCAAAGTGAAGGCTGAAAAGAAATCATCATATTCAGCCGCTGGGAGACTGTAATGGCTTCTTAAAGGTCCAGTGTAGCATGGAAAGCTGACCACGAGTGAAGGAGTAAGGGATGCAGAGGAAGTACAGGCAGCAAGGACTGCTCCACACTCCTTGTTTGCATGGTATTCAGTTGGGAGCATCCAGGCTGGGGAAGTCTTTCTTTTCAGTACAAAGGAGACTAGGCTATTGCTGAGAGGAAGAGTCTGAAGAAAGGGAGAGGAGGAGACAGGAAAAGGCCCAATAAAGGTGGAAGAGGAAAACAGGAGAGAGAAGTGGCCTCCGATGGGAGGGATGCCTTCTCCTTTGGCCTGGGAACAAGGACTGTGGAGATGCTGGGAAGGAAGCTTCTCCCTAACAAGGAGGGATGAGGTCATGTCTTGCTAATAAGGTGACAGAAGGAGTAAGGCAGATAAGCAGGGAAATTTACCACAGTTGCCACTGGGTCTGAAACGGGAAAGATGGCGGAGGCAAGATAGGGTGCACTTGGTACTGTCAGGCAAGCTGGGGAGGGGAGTAAAAAGGTGCTCTCCGGGACTGCCTTTATAAGGCACAAGAAAAGACAGGGTAGTGACCAGTCATGGAACCTCAACAGCCTACTGTTCAGAACTTGATGCTAGGCAAAGACTACTCATCAAAGATTTACTAAAGTAATGAGTAAACTCTTTTTGGGTAAAAATGCTTTATCCTCATTTCCGTGCACCCTCCACCCTGGGTTGCCCCGGCTGGTGTAAAGGCACACAGTGTGATAGTCTTTGGTGTGTAAGGAAACTTCTGTCCTTTCAAAGTCACTAGGTACAAAGTGGACATGACTCCGGGTGATCTAGGTTCACGGGGCTGTTGTAGCTCTCATTCCAAAGGCAGTCAGAGGAAAACCACGCCCTGCACGGATGTCACTGAAGGCCACCAGCAAAGAAGACCGCTGCAGCTGCACTCCCAGGCACCCCAGAGCACCACAAGGAGTTAGTGATTTTGGGTTCTGCTTTGGCTTCCAGAGTGCTTCTCAAAGCCCCGCATTTGGCGATCTCCATTCGACAGGGCGGCAACGGGCCTGAGATCCCGCTCGCGGGTCCGCGGACCACACTTGGAGTAGGCTGGCCTGGTGGGGATGGAAGTTGCCAAAACCTACAGGAGGACCTTCGTGATGACGTAGCCGTCCCTGTCCCCCTCAGGCTCCTCTTTGAGCGGAGCGCAAAGCCCGGCCGACGCCAAGGCCAAGGCGCCCTCGCGCCGGCTCACTTCCCGCAGCCGCGCCTGCAGCGCCTCCCTCTCGGCCTGCAGTTCCCGGCGCGCCTGGGCCGCCGCGCGCTCCTCCTCCTGCAGCGCCCGCCGCCTCCGCTCCAGGGCGCGCTCGCCCTG